AATAAGGCATCAGACCTACCTCATTTTCTCTCCCACTTTTTCTTCCTCTCATTTCTCTCCTACCAAGTTGGACAACTCATTTCTCCTCCCATTTTTCTCTCTATTTTTCTCCTTTCAACTGTTCTTATCCAAACAGATTTGAAATTATACTATATTTTTTCCAAAAAGGGTTCACGTGGGCTAAATTAATTTGTGGGTATGTACAAATTAAGAAGTATATTTAAATTAATATTAAAAAGCCTCAATATTGAGCCCAAAAATATAAGTTAAAATAAATGATTAAGCCATTTCGTTTTATTAGTTTTAGCCTGTCCATGTGTGTAAATACGTCTCCATCTTATTATTATTATTTTGTCGATTGTTATTTGTTTTGACTACATTATTTTAAACTAGTGCCGCATGCCAGTTATACTCAATTAATGGATTATTTTCTTTTCATCGCAAAAGCTATAAAATATTATGCGTACCTTTTTGTGGCAATGATCCAGTCAGGTTGTTATGGTTTAATGTCAACAAGGTGAGGGAAGTAAGAGACATAAAAGATTCTGGAATACTGCCCTCCAGCTTATTTAAACCAAGCCCCAGCTTCTCCAGATTACGTGAATGAGAAACATCTGTCAAATGCCAAATGGAAATGTGTATTAAGCCACAGCTCCTTCAAAATAATTATATATATGTTGTTAAAATTTATTGATAACGAATCTGCTAAGCAAGAAAACGTCATCTTATCTCTTACTTTTGACATTTCATTCAATTCTCTCAATTAAATAAAGACACATTAATTCTTCAGATGAGATGATTACATGAAAAGGGTAACTAAATAATTTGACTTCCCAGCAAAATCATGAAAAAGAAAAAGAAACTGTTATATATTTAATGGAAACACTTTATCGATATATTTCTTTTAGCATTTTTTTTAAAATCATGGCCCAGTAATCTTTTCTCTAAAAATGGATATACTTTTGATGCACGTCTCTGTAACTACATGTGTCACTCAAAATATAGTATGATATAGAAGACAAAGATTTAGCACCGAAATATGGGAATTCTGTGAGCATGTTGTCTTGTAAGTTCAACGCTTCCAAGTTCACCAGCCTGATATTGCCAAGCAGCGCTGTCCCATAAACACCATGTGATCAGTAACTATGAATGTTAGTGGATATAAAGAAATATAAAAAATAATTCAAATAATTAATATCATCATCCTCTTCATAATTTGACCGGAAGTGAAAGTTTGATCATTTAGTGTTTATTAAGCTTGTTTTGGGCCCCTCTATATATCCAAGAGAATATCCTGCTTAGTAATTTATTTTTAAAAAAATATTTACAACACGAATCAAAACGTTTAGTATCTCAAACATTTTCTAAAATATCTTACTTGAATATATTTTTTTAAAAAAGAGTAATAAAACTTTTGGTACTCAAATTTAATTTGTCTCCGTTATCAATTTGGTCTGTGAAGTTAAATTTTTATTAATCAAGTTTGTAAAGTTTGGGAGAAAATATAAATGGTGAATGAGAGAGAAATTGAGTAAGAAAAAGATAAGTATGTGAGGGAATAAATGAAGTGATATAACATATAATTATTGGGAGAAAATATAAAAAATTGGTTCAAATTTCATAAATAAAGCAAAGTGAGGGTTATCATCCTTGAATTAATGGTTAGAGATAGCACATGTGGGTTTAGGATTATATATCTTCAAACCATAATGAGTAAGTTTGCATGATTACAAAACTTTAGGGACTTGATTTATAACAATTAATTAAATTTCATGGACCAAATCAATAAGTGAAGCAACTTTGAGGGACGGAAATTTTTATTATTCCAGTCAGAAATTATCTACAAATATTTAGCTAGAACTAGAATGGACTCTTACCCCAGCAAATCAGTGGGCTAAAAGAGGAAACTGACAAAAAGAACGAGATAAAAGGCAATGAATGATATGATCATAATCATTGTTAACTAATTTTTACTGTAACTGATGTGCTTTTACATCTTCAAAAATCACAGTTCGAAATGCTTATAAAAATGTTGGTCTTAATTAACAATGTATGCCTATGTACTCTGTGTGTGTGTTTATACATGTGTGTGTGTGTGCATGAATGATAGAATAGTTACAAGAAAGAGGGTGACCTGACAAGTAATTCCCATCCAAATACAACCCATGAAGCTGGATGAAGGGCAGAAAAGAAGAAGCATTGAGTGACCATTTGATGTCTCTCAACTCATGAGGTCTTGCATTGTTTAGACGAAGGCTTATGACTCTATGAGTGGAGTTGTCACACTTCACAGCCTCCCAAGTACAACAAACAGAGAAAGTTTGGTCATTCCAATTAAGAAGGAAGAGAAGAGCCAGTTGGATAATTGAAAGCTTCTTTCAATTTTAGAAGAGCTTGTCTCTCTTCTTTCAAGCACCCCTCACCTTCTCCATTAAACCCTAATAATATGAATATGGTGGTTATGATCATCACCCGCCACACATCTCTCACAGAATGTCCCATTTTTCAGTATATGCTTCCTCAATGCATGTCTTCAACTGCGCTGTTCATCTATATATAAAATCAGTGCGAGTGTTCTTGCAATAAGAACCAACTTGGTAATTTAACATTGGAAATTTCAAAGAGTATCTTGCAATAATTTCATTTGCATTCTTATCATGACTAATAAAAGTCAGTGCATTTGCCTTAACATTCTGCAAAATCTACCCTACAACGCGCATCACAATGGGCCGTCACTGACCAATTCCTATCCCAAATCTCACGTCTTGGATGGCTAAGTGCATGTGCTTTTGAAATTTCTGCACAATCAAACAAACTGTATATGCCCCATCCGTCAAAGGGACCTAGGAAAGCCAGACTACATAGACTGCGATTGTTGTGCAGCAAGTAAACTATACGTCTAAACCCTAAATTTTTCCACACGTTTATCTGTGTTTAGCACTAAAATTGAGTCTTAGTTACTCAGTTAGGATTAATTATTTGGATAATAACTCAATGAATTAATCTCATTCGTGTTAACAAACATATACACACACACCTAAATGTTTCGTGCATGCATGATTCTTTGATATGTCTCTATAAATTTTGAGAAATATCTTCACACAAAGTCTAAATATGCAGTTTCATTTGCAGTTAAGTATTGTTTTGGATTTGATTTATGTAGGCTTTTGTCTCAAGTTTCTATGGATCAACCCAATCCAAGAATTATTCTCTCAAGTGCTCCCCTTCAGAACTGACACAGACTTAATTGGAGTCGTTTAGTGAGAAAGATCAGAAAAAGATGAAGAGTCGTTGCACCTGAAATACACGATTGTTAACGTAACCTCTCGACGACTTATGATTGATCCTGACAGTTGCCAACGATGTTCACCACACAAATATATAAGCTTTATATTCTTATCACAAACTATTCAAAATCTCAGAGCTTGTGCTTTTGACATTTCTGCACAATCAAACAAACTACGCCCCATCGAAGGGAATTTGGAAAGCCAGCGTGTATATGGTAGACTAAGGATGTGTTTGGAATCATAATGGTGGCTCGCAAACTAACTTCACCCAAAAAAAAAACTGAAAAAAATAACTTCATATTTAAAATATATGTTTGGATTGGCTGTGGAAGTAAATGATGGTACATTTAAAAGTAATTTTTTCCCCAAAAGTTCTAACTTATTACTTTTGGCTTCTACATCGCACCGTTGGATAAACAGGGCTCACATGATATGAGTGAGAATGCCTTATGTGTGAGTTACTTTTTTTAAATGTATACTATTCAATGAAATTCATGCCCTTTTCGGTTATTTTATATCTAAACTTATTTTTCTATTAATCATCTAAGCAAGTTTTTGCTTCTCAAATTGACTCTTTTACAAAAATCAATCCAAACATAAATTACATTACACTACCTCACTTTTTTCTAATCCAATTTTTACAAAAGTCGTATTTAAAAAAAAAGTAACTTCTCCGGCTGTTAATCCAAAGACCCTAAGATTGCTGTGCAGAAAGAAAACTATACGCCTAAACCCTAAATTTTATTTCTATACATTTATCTTTGTTTAGCACCAAAATTGACTCCTACGCATTCAGTTAGGGTTAATTATTTCTACAATTTTTATTTTTTGGTCTTGTTCATTGGTTTTAGACTCTTTGATTATTCTTGACCTTATGTTTAATCATGCACCATTGTTTTTAAAGATTTACAGTATTTTTTGAAGAGTCATTTTTTGCTGCCCACGATTCCTTTGTATGAGTCGGAGATATGGCATATTTATGCACACAAAACAATTCTATATATTTTGTCATGCCTCTAAAATTATGGGGTGACCAGCACGGAATATGAAAACTCACATTCTTAAAGCCTTTAAGACATACAAACAAATGCTTGACATAATAATTACAAAAATCTTAAGAGTTCATCCATTAGTTCAAGTTCATATATAAATTTATTTCTCATAGTCACAATAGTAAGTTTTTTTTTTGTAGAGATTTTGGAAGAGCTATCCTTGTAAGTCTGTTTTTTTTTGTTGGGAAAATTCTAAAACAGCCTGTAATATCCCAAATTTTATGGATTTGAGTAAAGCATGATGAAGAATAAATTTTTAGAGAAATTATTGAGATTAAGACCTTTCAAATATGGTCCGAATAATTATAAAGTTAATTTCAGGAATTTAGGACCTATTTTCTTGGAAAATTCAAGGAAAAATAGTTAGAGGATAATTTTTAAGCTAAGATTTTTAGGATAATTATTTTATGGACTAAAGAAGCTAATAGAAGAAGAAAATCCATATAAAATATCCAGGTTTGATTTCTGGAATTATTTGACTATCCTTTAAAAAAAAGAGAGAGAATGATCAAATTAAAAGAAAATGAAGACCAAAGGACATGATGGTCATTTCACGTCCCTTATCCTTTTTAATCTGTCAAAACACGTTCTCCCTTCTCATTCTCCTCTATTGCCGACTTGACTAGAAAGGAGAACGAACAGATAGAGCTTGAAGGGGCGAGAGGAAGATGAATCATCACGAACTACCGGAGAAAGAATCAGAGGTGTTTTTCTTGCATGTAAGTGTGCTTTTCTGATTAAGGTGAGTCCCTCAGGCCTTCCTCTATCCTTGTTTTCTTTGATTGGGACTTTATGGGAGTGGAAGAAATAAATGAAAATCCTACCCTAGGGAGAGAAATTCAAGAATCGCATGAAAGCTTTGACCAAAGCATAAATTTGGAGTTGTGCGAGAGTATTCCTGCACGTTTATGCTGCTGTTTGTGTTCATTTTTTTCTGGTACCTGATTGCCGAAACAGGGGATGGGTGATTCAGGAGGGGTAGCTTTGGACTTTTCTTTCCTTGGGTATAAGGCTGAATATTGATGGAATTGAAGACAAGTTTTATAACCTACATATATAGGAAATTGCTCTAGGGCGGATTCTAATCTAATGACATTCTCGAAGACATCTTCGGACCCAACATCCCAAATGTTTTATGCTGATACGTGGCCTCCATACTTGAAAGGCAAATGAAAAAGAGATAGTATGATTATGAAGATAAAATAGTGCTACATAATATTTTGGGGTGAAGGCCGTATGGTTTAATAGAAGAGGGAGTTATTATTTTGTTTGGGTTAAAAACCGCTGGATAGGAAAGGGGCAAATTGAGTTTGAATATTTGAATGCTACATGGATTGGAAAGTGATTATTCTTTAAATCTGGAATTTTAATAAGAGGAGGAATTTTTGAATTTGAGAACCAAAATCTGATTCGAAGTTTATTGGGTTGTCTTCTCAAATGCTGAATATTATTCTGGTTAGTGGACCAACCTTATTGTGAACAATGATTAAATTTTATTACAGTAAAATGAGCATTTTAGAGGGGCAAAAGATATCCATATATTACGAAATGGAGGAATGATGTTAATGTTGGGATGTTGCAGCTGAAATTAAATCACTTGGCAATGATTTGATTATGTATAAATGGGGAAGTATTTTCGGTCAAGTGGGTTCAAGAGGAAATGTAATCTTAAACTAGGGGATATTAAAGTAGGAGATAGAATGATATTGATAAAGCTGGAATTTTATAAAAGTATGAAAGAAATACTATTGCTATTATAAATTTTAAGGACCTTGAATATTCAAGGTTGTTGATTTATTTTTGAAGCCTAGGAATAAATGATCTATATATATATAAATATTAATTTTCCCTTTCCTATATAATTTATAGGATTTGATATTTGTTCAAGTCCATTAAGAAGGGAGCCAAGGAAGAAGCAAGGGGAAGTTAGTACGGAAGAAAAAGTGAAAGGTAGTAACTCTTTTCCTTTAATGTGATTGTACATTGATTGCCACATGCTTGGATGTGCCTTTATTCTGATTGTGCATGAGAACATGTAAGTTGCCTTTGCATAATAATATTTGTCATGACAATATGTGCTGGTTTCCATTGATTTTGAAATGTGGGCGCGATAGATAGCGATTAGCTATATGGGTGTATAGTGTATATGCATCATTAATTATATTTGGATGCAAGGTGTTGTTCTCTTTGGCCTGTGTAGCATATTGTTTGTGATTTTATATGATTACGTGAGGGAAATTTGTTACTACTGGAATTCTTTAGAATCTCACCCCTTCTTCCATGTAATACAGCAAGTGCAAGTACTCCTAAGTGCAAGAGAGCAGTGATCAGTGGAGTTTAAAGGTGCAGAAAGCTAGCGATCTTTTGTATATATATTGTGCTTAAAATGCATCTTATTTTGAAGTGAAGATATATTATATATCTATTTTGGTATGTAAATATTCTTCCACAAGGAGGTGGTTAAGAGCAGATAAACCATGATAACTGATACTGAAGGAAGTGATCAATATTTTGATATATAGTTATTATTTTGTAACTCGTTGTATGAGCCTATGGCCAAAATATTGAATGTTAGATCCTACTGGCTATAATTGATTTGATATAAGATCCAAAAAGATTGGATGGAAAAAGAATGTGTTCGATGGTTGAATATGAACCATGGGTTTTTGACTGTTTTTACCGTTTTTGTAAAAGGGTTAAAGTGGGTGCTTGAACCACTAGACCGGTTACTTGAAAGTAAACTTTGAAATGTTTAAAACTTTTCAGAAAATCCTATTCCTTGAATAGGATCAGACTTTGTACTTGGAAACAAAAAAAAAAATTGTCTTCCCAAGGATTGGAACCTGGCTTTTAATAATTCGAGATTGAATAGAACAACTATATTGGTGTATAAAGGATAGTCGTGACAGACCATTAGTCAAGTAGTAAAATAGAGCTTTGTTCCATAACCACAATATATAAATACATTTATCCTAATGTATCAGAAGGAAATAGAGATCCTGCCTATAAACCCTAAACCCTAAACCCTATAAACTACGTGGAGCATCTAAACTGCAAAAATAAATACTTAAATGTAAACTTAGATTTACATCATTAAAAGATATTTTGAAATGTATCTACAAGCTTTGATTAACAATGAGTGCCTTTGCTATTCAATTGGAGGTACAAAGACTAAATAGTTCCTATTAATAAAAATAAGGTAAAGGAAGTGCTAAAAAAATAAATTATGCAATATAGTAATGTAAAATAAATAATTTACCATTGCTTTTAAATTCTTAATAAGCCATGAAAACATAAAAGAAAGCATATAAAGAGGTTTTGATATGCAAATTAAACTCAACACACAAAAGAAAACTTTATTTATAAATTCAAATTACAAAACAATGTCAAAAACCTCTTTTCAGTTGAGGACCTCAATAGAACGAATAACCAACGTGAACGGTCTCACGAATATCAAGCAAGCTTAATGTTAACCATGGTACACCATCACAAGCACGACCAAAGTCAGGAATACAAGCATAGCCAGAGCCACGAATGACAAGCACAGCCAAAGCCATGAATTACAAGCACAGCCGAAGCCATGAAACAAACATGAGAACAATGGCCATGAATAACAAGCACGGTTGAAGCCACAAATAACAAGCGAGCTCGATATTAACCATGACGCACCAAAAGCTAACAGTACTACTGTTAGCAACTAGCGTTCTGTATTCAGTCCTTGGGAAAAAAAATATTTTCAAGCATGCATGGGATCAATATACCATTAAACGAAAGATATCTATATCCCATAATGAAATCTTACAAAGAAAGAATATTTTATAACAAATGATACCAGCATAAAAGTTTTCAAATAACATTTTCAAAACTTTCTTTCAATTTCCATTAGTCAGTGAAGAATGATTCTTCTCAAACAATATAAGTTCATACAGGTACATTTTCAAAATATGTAAATTATTATTCAAAATCATTATTTCGTCCAGGCATTCAAATATCAATAAACAAATGTTATAGTTCCAACAAACCTTTTTTCAATCAAATAGTATTTAAGACAAAAATTTTGATAATATGAACAAATATAACATTCAAAATATAAAAATTATCATGAAGTGCTATTCACTAAACAGCTGCTTATCTTAATCATACTACTTACTTTCGTTTATACAATTTTTGCAATGTGCTTACTCCTAAATCTCCTGGTGTCACAGAAACAAGAATTTTTCATAACAATTTATTCAATGAAATTTTAGTTAATTCTTCTTCTTCAGTAAGTCTCAATAAAAAAAAAAGAGCTTATGTATACAAATATTTCACTCAACGTCAACGTTCAAGGGATTTCATTTAAATTTTTGTAAAGTTTCATATATGGATATTATATCAACCTTTCAAAACCATTTTTTAATTCAGCTCAATAATACTGCACAATAATACAACTTCTTTGTTACACCATTCCATAAATCAATTTACAAATATCCATTAATCTTAGTTTAATTAAATTCTTCTACAAGATTGTACAGTTATTCCAAGTACATCTTAGCTCAACTCACATAATAAATATCACGCTATAAAAGTCAACAACCATATAGCTCTTGAGCATCCAAATAACTAGTTACAACACCTTCATTATCGCGTTCTATTAGTAGCCAAGCAACTACAAACACCCTAAATACAACACGAAGCTAACATAAGAAGTAATTAGATTCCATAGTTCTTCTTTTGCAATCATCAAAGTATTAATGTAAACATATCCAAATACTTCATTCCCTCATGTCTAAACCAAACAAAATCTCCCTCATTCTTCATCCACATATTTCGTCAAACACCTTATAGGCATTCAACTTGACTCAACAACCAACCGTGATCCACAAGTCGGCAGGCGTGAATCATTTCTAATATATAAACACAAGTATGTATGTTTCAGCATACATTTTCAAATAAACATCATATAATCCATCAAACCTGAAATTTATCAAAACTCATTGCAACACCCCCCCACTACACACCATAGCAACGCCAATATAGAGAGAAAAAGGAAAAAAAACAAAAGAAATAACAAAACCCATATAAACCCACACACCCATGTCCATCAGTGCAGAAGATTAAATAGAAAAGAGGCAAATTATGCCCTATCTACTCCCCATTACAACAGTAACGAAAACAAGGGGGAAGAATAATGAAACTCCTCTCAAATACACTGTTACTCAAGCAAAATAAATAAAAGATTTTAACTTACATAAATCCCCTGCTAGCAGCGACTATGAAGGAAGATAAATAAAAAATAAAAAGAAATAGAGCTCAATCTTTTCCACGATACCAGGGCACCAATTAGAGCAAAGAAGAAGATAGAATGGCTAAGCTTGAAGGAAGAAATGCTGACATAGACATTACTGGCATACCCACAGCACACAAGCCGCCGATGAACACACGGGCAGGGGAGGATGGTGGAAGAAGCGATGGAATCACAAGATGGGGTTAGGGATTTTAGTTTCCTTCCAGGAGCGAGCTCTACATTTTTTTTTTCCCCCACGCGATACACTGATAGGGAGTAGCAAGAAAATAAAATCTCATTTAAACTTAAATCTTCAGATTTTTAAGGGCAGTTTTGTAATTTCATTTAAAAAAATAAAATTTTCCTTTTTAGCAAACCCAAGATTTGAAGTAAACGCATGCTGAACAACCTCCACTGCCACCTAGCCCCCAACTTTTCTTGATCACTGCACCACAATGAATAATAAGAGAATTAATTAACTTATAATTATATTATCAAAATTATTACAATTATTATTTTTCTTATCTCTGTTTTTATGATTTTTTTTTTGGTTTGCAGATGGGCTTATTTTCAACTATACCCATTGTTATAAAATTTAAATCAGACCCTTTTTTTTAAAAAAAATTTACTTGATCAATTAATTAGTACTACAGATCTTAAGAACTTTTAAATTTCTGGGTCATTACATATTTTCAAGAATTTTTATTTTAATGGTCGTGTTTTATATATGAAGTTTAATTAGGCGCTATAGCAAAAGTTACGTACGTCCCATAATATTACAATTTAAGTGTGTTTCAAAAAGAATCAAAATCTTTTAGTTTACTGTTCCCCAGTCGCTGTAAATCTTAATCTTGATTATTTTATATAAATACCGAAATGTAACGTTATGCTATGTATATAATTAACTAAAATCAGATTCTGCTTGCCTAAATAAATTTGGTGCTTAACCTTTTATTATTATACTTATTGATAGCTATGCATATATAATAAGAGTCCCCTCCTCAGCTTGTCTTTCTCAAGGAGTAGACATTTACAAGAGCATATTATAAATGAAAATTGATCAGATTATAATTTAGGGGGGAATTAAAAAGTTATTTTTTATCTTTAATATGTTCATTAACTCCCATACAAGCACTCAGGAAGTAAAAGGAAAGGGGAAAAAGTATTCATTATTTCACATAAACTGATAGCAGTAATGAACTCTTAATAATCAACATCCACAGCAAAATTCCAGGACCCAGCAGCAGCATATCGCAGCAACACTGCACAGAAAAACAACGTAAATTAAATTATCAAACAAAACATACCAATTAATTGACCTCTATATATATATATATATTCTATAATAAGAAAAAGTATATGTATAGGAATAGATAGATGTTGTGAGAGACGAGAAAGTGAAGAGAGAGAAACCCACCATCCTTTCCAGAACCCTTCACCCTTACTTTTGGTCTCAGCTGTGATATATGATGAATCTTGGGCACCTTGCACGATGGTGGGATATCCAGATGGTGGTGATAAGGCTGACCCGGTGGAGGATAAGCCATCAATGGTGTCGATGGAAGATAAGCCTCCGCATGTACAGAATCACATCATCCAATCTGACATATATCAAATAAAAAGAATAACACAGCAACAAACTAATTAAGTAGAATAATTCTACAAGAACCTGAAACTTGGTGGTGTTGATTCACAATATCTGCTGCAACTTATGCGCTAGACTCAGAAAGAAGGATAAAAGAGAAGGGTGATTTTCTATACATAGTCTCAATGGAGATGAGAAGAATGAACAAAAGGAGAATAAACCAAGGGATGATTGCTTATAATTTATTTGTAGATAATTTCTATGAAAGGGTCCCACGCCGATATTGGGTGAAGAATTTGAGGTTGTAAAGAGAATTTGCAGAAAGCCGACAAAGAAACAACAGGAAAAGATCAGATATTTAAGCCTGACATAGTCAACCGCGTTCATACTTGCTCAGAAACTATCAGTTTTACGTGGGGTTAGGTAAAGCAATGGGCTAGTTTCATCATAAAGTTAGAAATAATATAGCTCTAATATTTATTGATGATGATGTTATATGGGATCTGGTTGCTCAAGGTATATAATTTATATATTTTGTTTGATCTGTTTAATCAACATTAATTAATCACAACCTATTTAGACGAGAACATGGTATTTATATGTTAACTGAATTAACCTAATCCTGATTCTGTGTCGTCTCGGAGGTTGACGCTTTTCATGATTCCAATTCTGCAAATCACAGAAATTTCAAATCCTATGTTCTTAGGCAGATATGAAACACCTAACCACATAGATAATCAATTGTAGTCAGTTGAATATTGATGTGAAAAAGCTAATCATACGATTATGAGACACACACACACATTACCTCCAATTTTAAATATAAGAGCTACTTGACTAATTTGAGTAAATTAAAAAATAAATTAAGTTAATTATTTGTAATAAATAGGTGTTGTCTTTCTTAAAATATTTTTCCTAATCAAGTTTATTGATTAGAATTATCATTATTAGAAGAATTATCTTTGAAAAAAATAAATAAATATGAGAGACAAAATAGATTGGGGTCCTATATTTAGGATCAAAATAATTAAAAAAATCAATACGTCAAAATGTTTTTTTAATTATTTGCTCACTCCTTGCTCTGTCCTGTTCTTTCTCTATGTTGATTTAGAAGTATGAAGCCAAAGCAGAGAGGAGCATACAGACAACATGCGTCTGCAATATTCTCATGAAATTTCATAGATAAAGGTCGTCAAAATCTTAAGATGATCCAACCTAATTCTATAAATATGAATATCAGTAAAATTAAAGATGCCAGAATAAATAAACAAATATTACTGTTATGAGAAAAAGGCACCAAATCAATGAGATAATGTTTTGATTGACCATCTCTTCATGGATGTGATTTTGCAAGGATTCTTTAAAAAAAGGAAAAAGAAAAAGAAAGAAAGAAAAGAAACGAAAAGAGTTTAAATCAATTAAGTTTTGTGGGTAAGGCCGACCCAAATCTCAGAGCTGATATTTGTTAGCAACACTGCTAATAAGTATAGGTTGGAGGCAGCTGCGGCGGCGAAGGAAGCTTAATGGAAGGTCCGAATAACATTGTGAAAGCACGTGGTGAAGAGAGATGAATGTGAATAGCCTTTATATGAGGTTGATTCTTGCTCTATTTCTCTCTGTTAATATACTCAAAAGGACACAACAAGAGTAAGCATATTAATAAAAACTTGTCATTGCAAGTGTATGAACAAATGTACTTTCACTTTAACATTTTCTGTTTTATTTAATAAGTTATTGTATTCGACCATTCAACTCATAGTCAACTACTATGCAATGCTATGTTATAAGTCTAATCATTGAACTAGATGACCATGTAGAGAAAGACAAAGTAATAATTTGAATATTTCAATTTATTTTCCTATCTGCTTGAGGTTGGAAAATGTTTCTAGAATAGGCCCTTTTAATTGATTGTTTGACAAATTTAATGCATGGATAGTGCCTAAATATCCAATTTGTGAAGGAATCTCATCTATCAATTCATTACTTGAGAGATCCCTCCCTCACATGAAAATTAAAATGCTTCCTTTATAAGATTCATACCTGCTTTTTGTTTTAAAATCTACTTCTTGGTCTTTATACAATGTAACATTTTTTTTTATATCCAAAGAAACTTCACCAGTCACAGGGTTAAATATATACCTTGACAATCTTGTAGTCTATGATACAATAAAATGTCCTATTTTGGTTGCCCATTGTCCATCTATTTTCCCAAATGTGATGTTATTCAAGCAATATGGTATGCCTCCAAAAAGCTTATTTTGAGAAAGATCTAATAACCTGATATTCTTTAGCTCAAATAAATGTGTAGGAATAGAGCTTTCAAGTTGTTTTCTTTTAACATGAGGACCCTCAAACTCAAAAATGAGTCATTCAATCTTGAAACTTGACCTGGAAAATTGTTATTCATCAAATTTAAAGTCAACAATAAAGGGGAATTAGCCAAAGTGGAAGGTAGAGGTCCCTTGAAATGGTTGCTTTGCAAGTGCAAGTACTTCAGCAATAGAAATTTTAGACAGATTGGCAAAGAGCTAGTGAATTTATTTTTAGAAAGGTCTAGATGTGTAATTTCAGTCAAGTTGCAAAAGCTTTCTAGTAGTGAACTTGTTAAAGAATTCTTTGACAAAATCAGATAACTCAAATGTTGAATGTTTCCAATCCAACTAGGTAATTCACCAGGTAGTTGATTGGCACTAATATCCAGCATTCTTAATTTAGTACTATTCATGACCCCACCTTCAAGCTTTCCTTTGAAGTTATTGTTGTTGAGAACCAAAAACAACAAAAATGTGAAATTTGATCTTATGGGAAGACATGGGCCACCTAGCTAGGTGGTTGTTTGACAGCTTCAAAAACCTCAATTCATTGTTACCTTGGCCACATTCTTGAGGCAAGTAACCAGATAAATTATTATTTGACAAGTTGAGATCATTCAGTTGTCTCATTTCACCTATTGAAGCTGGGAAGCAACCTCGCAATAAAGTTGAAGACATGTCAAGAGAGATCAAGTTGGGAAAAATGAAGCAAATATGAGAAGGTATTTCATCTCTAGTAGTGTTGGAGGAAATATCAAAAGACTCCATTTGAAGCAATTTTGAGGTGGAATTGAGTTCAAAGGGACCAGTGAACAAGCTGTGGGTCAGATTGAAATAATTCAATTTTGTGTTGTTTGTCAAAAGCCAGGATGGGAAGGTGCCAGAAATGTTCAAGTTCACAAGGGATAGAAATAGAAAGTCATATTGATGAAGAACAAAGGTAGGCATTGTTTTATTGTTTGCTTCATTTAGAGTGCAGTTGCGGATTCTAAAAGACCTTAATTGGAAGGAAGGGATAATGGGGGATTCTTTGTTTCAAGCCTGAGGTTGGTGTTGGAGCAATACATGGCAAGGATTTTGAGGTTGGGTGGTTGGCAAGCAACGAGAGTGAAAATGAGCCACTAAAATTGTCGTCAAAAAGAACAATTGCTGTTAGAAACCTCAAAGTATGAAAGAGTGAGGAAGGAAAGATTCCTTCAAAGCAATTTCAACATAGAGACATCAAATGGCCAAGGCACGCAGGAAGTTGCCCCCCAAATTCATTCACAGCAACATCCAATAATAAAAGATTCTTCAGATTGCGTAAGCCTCCTGCAACATACCATTTTTCTTTATTACATTTAGTTAATTACTCCGTCAATAAAACAAGTTATAAACTTTGAAGTAATAGCTTAAAGCTTTAAACTTTGAGACTCGACAATATTTTTTTGAAATTTTTTTTGGTTTCCGGGGGCTATAGTACGTAGTTTGTACGTTAGGCTTAAAAAAAGTATTTAAAACAACATCGGGCTCCAGAAAAACCCCTTACACTGAACTCAAAAATGAAAATAAACTAAAAGAAAATTCCAATAAAATAACTTTGAAATTCAAAATTCCAAAAGTTCACCCTAATTTTGGAAAAATACGATGCGTACCTTCTTTAGGCAATGATCCAGAGAGGGAGTTTCCGCCTAATGTCAACTCGATGAGGGGAAGAGACGTAATAGATTCTGGAATACTGCCCTCCAAGTTATTACTACTAAGTCTCAGAACTTGCAGATTACGAGAATGAGAAAGATCTGTCAAATGCCAAATGGAAATGTGTAGATTATATTAAGCATATATGTACGAAAAGCTATTTGGATGGGTCATTTATATATCTATATAACCTGTTCTAATGCATTGTCCCATTTCGTTTTTATATATTCTCAAAATTTCTTGGCCATGTATCTGCTTTGTCATTTATCCTCTTCCAGTAGCAGAAAAAAGTTGTCTAAATATTTCTTTTATTAGCATTTTTTTTTAAATCACGATCATCTTTGTCCAAAAATAAATAAAATTTTGATGCACACAGCAGGAATTAACGTGCATATATGCCTTTTAAAAGAATAGACAAGATAGAGAGATTTAGCAAACCAAAAGATGGGAATTCTGTGAGATTATTGTTTGCTAAATACAACTCTTCCAAGTTAGTCAGCCTGATATCGCCAAACAGCCCTGCTACGCAAACAGCATGCTTTGGTCAGTCATTATGAATCATAGTGGGTGACAAGGACTAAAACAAAACAAAGATATTAAAGCTTTTGTTCCTTCGAGTCTGTCTCAGTTATCAATTCGATCTCTAAAATTTAACTTTTATCAATCAAGTCTGTCAAACTTTGTGCATAATTTTATATTCTTTTTTTATTTCATCCTGCAATCTATGTGAAGAGGTTATCATTCTTGAGTTAATGGTTAGAGCACACATATATTTATAATTTTATGTCTTCAAATCAAAAGCATTGGTTATGCGTGATTATGAAATTTTAAGAAACTTAATGAAAATTAAATTTAAAAACCTAAATAATTACATCAATAATCGAATTACAT